CTAGATGGAGGTGGGCATGTACATAAAAGGCACATCACCCATTCTACGTTGGTCGATGTGGAATGTTACATTCGTTGTCACAAGGAGGAAGATCAAAGGAAAAAGAACTTGGGCAATCAATATAGGAACCACAAGTCTGCTCATCAATATGGTAGTTCATGTCTTTGTGTGGCTGATTTTCTCTTTGCATGTGTATATTTTATTTCAGAAATTTGGTATAAAATTATGGTATGATTTTGTGTGCTCATTTATTTATTTATTTATTTATTTTGGTCGATTTATAGTATTTGCAAGATGTTGCAGTGTATGCGAGAGTCAAGAAGAGGCTGTGAGCATGACGAGATTCTTGGCAGGCTAGAAAAGGTTGAAAATGGTTTTTCTTTTTCTTCCTATTTTTGTAACTCTAATATTATGTTTTTGGTGGACATCTATTTAAATACAATTCTGAAAAAATATTTATGAAACAAATATTGCATAGGGGCAATTGATGGTACACAAATCCTAGTAATCGTGCTTAGAGAAAGACAAGTACCATATATTGGAAGAAAACATATCACTACCCGAAATGTTTATTACAATATTTTTAAAGTACTTTTGAATTTGGGATTCTTTAGGTGAAATTACATGTAGAATAACTAAGAATGCCTAGACGGGGGCTGAATAGGCCAATTTAAAATTATAATAAATAAATAAAAATAGACTTCAGTAACATGATTGATATATCAATCTTGAAACATGTTGAGCATAAAATAAAGGAACATGCAACGAATTATTCTATGTGTAACGACTTGGTCCAAAATAAATTGGTAATTATTAATTTATTAAGATAAAATACCATTTTGCCCCTAGAATATTTTATTAGGTTTAAAGTCGACTTTTTGACCCGGAAGGAATTTGGGAATTTCGACTGTACTGTTGCGTAGAGCAAGGCAAGATGAGTCCGTAGACACATAGTGTGGCCGAATTGGAGTTGTAACGAAAAAGATATTATCAAAATACCCTCAATGGCATAATCGTAATTTTTGTGAAAAGGGTTTGATAAAATCTGATTCTCTCTCTCTCTCTCTCTCTCTCTCTCTCTCTCTCTCTCTCTCTCCGTGCGCAGCCTCTCCCTCTCCTTGTGACAACAACCACAGCTGGCCAGCTTTTGGCCAACGATTCTCTCATCCGACCACCAAAGTTAAAGGGGCTGGTACCAAAATGACCGGGCCACCATCCTCTTCCAACCCCAGCCAAGCCCCGCTGCCAGCCGCCGTGATTTCGCCGAAAAATCAAATAGAAACGGCCGATTTTTCACTCGAATTTCTCCGACTTTGCTCTCCGTCATCCGGCCACCAATTCCGGCGAGTGATGTATGTTTTCTCACCTATTTTTCATGATCCAGCTGATGGTTGGGTAGGTTTTCATCAATTCTGAGCCTAGGTAGCTTGATTTTCAAATTGAATTTCGGCCAGTTTTGGGATTGTGATTTTGGCCACTTCCGGTCACTTTTTAGGGTAGGTCCAAGAACAAAAGTAGTTCCAATTACGGTGTTACACCTAGGATAGAAGTCCTAAGCCGTGATTTTGAGATTTTCCGGCAAAGCGTAATCCCTTTGGACACCCAAGCATTGTCGGCACGTGTGGCGGTGCGTGGGCACTTTAGAAAAAGGGCATTGTGCCCCGACGTAATCTTCTGGTCCTCACAAGTGCGTAGGTGTGCTCGGATTTCAATTTGGATACTGTTTTAGTCTCGAACGGATTTCACCTTTTGTGCGTTATCCGGGTTCGATAAGTTTGAACCGTTGGATAGTCTTGAATTTAATATATGTCAATTTATACATTCCTAGGATCGTGTAGGAATTCACGGATCATGGATCTGAGCCTCGGTCTTTTTTAAGTGGGTCCGGCATCGGTGTGATGTCGGAATTTCCACAGGATTCATCTCGTGTTTCAAGGAATTTGGGGCAAGTCCTGTCATTACGTGGTAAAACCCCACCTTTTCTAGAGCAGCTTGTAGACTTCCCCAAGACATCTGCTGCATCATCAAAAGAAACAACAAATTGTTTCTTCCCTTGTGGAACCCACATACCCATATTCTTCATTTTCTTCTATTTTAATTTTTTTGTTTCCATGTGGCTGACTTCTCTCTTTGGATATGCAGATTAAGGAGGTGCCTTGCCATGGGCCATATTGAGAGCTTTGAGATTCCTTTGTTTGTTGAGAAAGCAATTTGTCTTCTTGTTTCATAAACCAAAGACAAAGCTTGGTTGGGTATTTGCTTTTGCCTATTCTTCTTTTCTTGTCTCTTCGTATTTGCTTATTTTTCAGTGTCACTTCACTGAATATGTTTTCTTTTTTCAATGATAGTCCACCAAATTTGTTTCCATTTTTCAGTGATCATTTACCGAATTCGTTATTGAGTGTGTATTTAATATTGTTTTTTTTAGATATGAAGAGGACTCACAGAGGTACTTCTGAGGCTTCATCATCTCGACCTGATAGACAGCGTCCCACAGCCTCATCAAGGAGATAGAGAGCGGCTCCCCAAGATCACTTTGAGGATACGATAGAGGTTGAAGATGTAGCTCCTACTCTTGATAGTAATGTTGACACAGAGGTTGAAGATGTAGCTGCTACTCTATAGTGGGTGCATTTTTCTTTAGTCATTAAGATGACCGCATCTGTAGTAGCTACATTCTCCACCCTCGGAAGTTGTTGAAATGCATCCACACGCGCATGGTACCTCGAGTACAAATGTGTTACATCGCATTTGTCACTTTGTTCACGCCACATTCTAGAAACTGGTGGAATAGGATGATCTGGAGACAAATGAACCTACAGAACAAGAATTCATTCATATATGCACAACATATAAAACTAAACTATGTAGCGTAAACAAATAAATTCATACATGGACATAGTGATCATCGTCAACAAAACCAATGGCAATCTTACGTAGCTTGGTTTCACTTGATTGAGCTGAGAAAGGAAGAAATGTAAGGCATTAATGCATGCTTAGAAGGATTAAAACCACATTATAACATGTGGCAATAATATGCCCCATATCAGGCATGGTCATCCAACAAAAGAATGGTGCAAATCCATCACCAAAATAATTTAGTGCTCGCTCAATCTCGTTGTACCACTCCTCTCACAAGCAAGTATTACTCGAGGTCTTCTCTTTCCCTCACCTCCATAATTAGACCTTTTAATTACAATGACAATATTATTCATTTTTCCTTATGCACGAGCCCATCTAAGTAATGCATCTCTACTATTGAATATCTACACATAAAACTCATGTTATTTAAAGATAAAATTTGAAACATTAATGCCACGTTCATGCTACTAAAAAGGATTTCAGACAACAACTCAAAATAATTACCGAATAAGTTGTGAATTGATCACTATAGTCCATTACACATTTTGTTTCCACATTTTTGCCTTCAGTAGGGGCGTCACCTTGTTTTTGTTCCTTCAATGGGAGTAAGATCAAAAGACCTTGAATTAAATTTGTGGTCGACAATAAGTTACTGAATAAATAAATAAATTTCGGTTTGTTGCCACTAAAATGCAGGTAAAATTTCAATAATAAACCACTGAACAACGTTCCATGTTACGGTGGATCTCCACCGCATATTAAGTTCATGACCAGTCAAATACAACTGAAATAGGTGCAACTTTTCAATGGCATCCCACTGAATTTACCTATCGTGTTTGGTACTGATGTGCTGAATGCAACCAACAACCATCATGAAATACTAAACTTGCAAAATGCCAAAGAATAAACTCATACCTCATTCGAAGCCTCTCTCACTTCAATCTCACTCTTCATGAATAAATACAATATATTTTTTCACCAATATAAATGTATAAATCTCGTTAGAGTTGTAGGAACATGATCATTTGGAAAAAAAAACAAAAAAAATTCAAACTAGGGTTGCAGGTACTATGTGGGGTGCAGTGAGCAATTTTAATTTTAATTTTAAATTTTTTTGTCCTGAATGGTAATTATGTACAAGGGTAGAATAGGCTATTCATGTTTAAAATTAATATGAGGTAGAGCAAATAATGGGGTGCCAATAAAATCTCCCTTTTAATTTACTTGAGTAGGCAAAAAGCAGTTACCAATTTCTTAAATTGAATTTGATGCCAAAGTAAGGTTGTTCTATTTAAATCCCCATGTCGATTTTCCAACTTTGTTCACCTCTTAGTGTCCGTTTGGCATTGCTTATTTGGGGTTATAAGTAATTCTTAAAAAATATTGAGAAGCCCAGCCCGTTTGGTAAATTATGATAAAATCACTATTTTAAAAAATTGCTGTGAGAGAAAGCTATAAGGAAAAACAGCTAATGAGGTGTTTTCATTTTCTGATTATACGGGAATCAGTTTCAAAGAAACGCTAGATTATGATTATATGGGAATCAATACCAACAACACTCTTAACAAAAAGTTTACTAAAAATCAAACTGTTTTCTCCCACAGCAAATCTAAATCTAACTGCGATTATTTTTACAGCAGGCTGAAACTTCAATGGCTCTGGACAAGACTCCATTCGAAACCATAACCCCATCTCGTTTCATCACCTTCACTTTTCCCAACCCCTCCATCTCACCCACCCTCCTCCACGTCGCCGTCCTCGACACACCTTTTCAACTCACCAGCTCACCCCCAGTCGCCGCCATGCTCGTCCCCAAACAACGGTAGTCCGACTGGATCTTCTCCACCGAGTCCGGTCACCTCCAGCTCCTGCTCAGTTCTCCCAGGATCTCCCGCCTAATCCTCACTGGCAACCAGCCCATTAACGGTCACGGTTCACCGGTAATTTACCACCGTCCGGCTAGAAACGACTCGTCGTGTGATGGCGAACTCGGGGTGAGTTTGAGACCTCTTTTCCTTGCTTTATCTCCTAAGTCTTGCTTCAAACATGGCACTCTTGAGATACCCATTTTGAGTTATGAGGATAATGTGATTAGTAGTGTGGTTTTGGAGAGGTGTGTTGGGTCTTTGGTTGGTGAAATGGTGGTGGAAGATGTGGAGATTGAGAGTGGTGGTGAGGCTTCAAAGAGGGAGTTCAGGAGGCGTTTGAGGTTTAAAAGAGTGCCCAATTTGGTTCAAACGGAGGTACGTATTGTTCCCAACACGGGTTTTGGCTTTGATTATGTGGAAATCGGAGAAGTAGAGTTTAGGCTGGATAATAGTATTTTAGTGCACCCTTATTTGGTTCCTATGTTGGCAAGTCTTCAGTTGATTGCTTCTTATATTGAGGGACGGATTCCAAGTGGGTTTAGGCCGAAAGCTTTGTGTTTAGGAGTTGGAGGTGGAGCTTTGCTTGGATTTTTAAAAGCCGAACTGGGATTTCAGGTTGTGGGTGTGGAGGCGGACAAGGAAGTTTTAAGAGTTGCTACGAAGTATTTTGGACTGGAAGATGGTGGTGAGCATGTCAATGTTTGCGTTGGAGATGCAATAAAAGTTATTGAGAAACTTGCGGGTCGAGGTAATGGACAAAGTTCGGGTTCTTTTGGTGCTCATGAGATAGAAGGTGGTTGTGGGATGGGTGATGGCAATGACATTGATACTAAATTTGATGTAGTGCTAGTTGATTTAGATTCAAGTGATGCTGGAGATGGTATAATTGCTCTGCCATTTGAGTTTGTTAGGAAGCATGTCCTTTTGGCTGCCAGATCAGTTCTTTGTGATAATGGGATCCTCGTATAAATGTTATCCTCCAAATAGATCATTTTACACAACATTGATACAGGAGTTCAGAGAAGTTTTCCACGAGTTATATGAAATCAATGTTGGAAATGGGGAAAAATTTATTCTTATTGCTCGTGTCCCCTGTTACATCTTCTACTAGTGATTGTGAGAAGTGCTTCCTTAATAAACTAAGAATGATTATATCAGGAGCATACATGAATTCCATAAAGAAGATCTGAGATGGGGTGCAAAGAGAAGGTGCGATAATCAACCCCTTGGGATCCAACTGTTTTTTATCACCCCGCTTCTGGATGGATTGGGAGAGGGAATACGAATGTAAGATAGCATTGTCTTCTCAATTTTATACCTATTTGTTTTATCACAAACCAATTAGAATTATGATAAGAATAATAAAATAACTTTTCTAGGATAGCTTGCATCTGAACTTTCCACTGTACCAAACAACTCAAGGGATGAAGAATCCCCACCATACCTGCGTACTGTTCATCCTTCCACTTTCCATTCCCCTCATTTAGCATAGTGTAAAGGTCTATGGGTCGGGGAAGTTTAATTGTGGGCCCTCGTATCCAGAATTTAGGTAAGCTTTAATGGTAGTTTGGAAATTATGGTCCTCTTATGGGTACTAGGCTGAAAGGGGAAAAAAAACTATATTTACATGATTCAAGTAAACTTGTAATTTCAGTCATGGATTTTATTCTTTAATAGGAAGACTGGCTTCTGAAACTGTAGATTGAAATTAACTTATCTAGTTAATGTAGAAGTATCTTCTGCTTGCTGTTGCTTTAAGAGTAATTGTGATGATAATTATGTACCGTAATAGTGATTCAGATATTAGCGGAAATCTGATCTTTCAATCTTTTTCAGGTAAGAGGTAGATTGGGATAGCATGCTGGAGAGGGGTTTTGCAGAAATGGCAAAGAGTTTAGTGGTGGTGAGGCTGCCACGAAAACTTGGGCAACACCACAGTTGGTGGCATCGAATGTGGATGTCGTCCTGGCAAAGAGTTGGATTAAGGAAAATAACCTCAACTGGACTTGTTTTCTCCTTGTCTAGTGATTACAAGGTAAATGAAATGAACTGTTTCTCTCTTTTATCTTTGTTATATTTTACTCCAGTGACACTGGTAGTGGTGAGGGAACTCTTTGAATTTAGTTTTCATCTAAATCAATTGATTTACTGCAAGTTCCACGTTTCTACAGGAATGGTTCACATATGATCTTAACATCATTTCTGTGCAAAGCCTGATGGTCATAAAATAGTTTGGGTATTATGTCTTAGGAGGTCTTGCTACTTAGAGGTTTATTGGTGATTTCAAAGATTTCCATACATAATCAGAAGTTTAGATATACATACATTGAATTTGTGCCTTTTTTTTTCTTTTAAAAGGGAATTCTGGAAGTCTGGTACTCTGCATTGATAAGTGACTTCATCAATGTCATTACAATGTAGAAAGTAAGGCCAACTAAATTTTAAAGGTTGAATGACTTCGATTGATAGCTCGCGGCTATTTAAGTTCAGAAATTTTGGTAGCCAGTCAACTCAGTTTTCCAATAATTGGCTTAAGATTTTTTTGTTAATAGCATATCCAAAATTAGTAAAGTTCCAACTTACAACAGTCTTAGAGATGGTTTAGTTCAGCTAATGTTGGTAGCCAATTAGATGAAGAAAGAATGGAAATTCAGGAGATACTTGGCTACACGAGTGTATTAAAATAAAGTGGTTTGGACATTTCCTCTATAATTTTCTGATTTGCTGCAACAGTTAAATAAAGACCTCCTTTTGTTAACAGTGACATTTCAGTTCCTTGATGTTGTAGTTTCTCAGAGCTTGTTCCCATGTGCGACACAAGGTCTATGTCTTGCTGTATACTCACCTTAATCCTTAAATAATAAATGTAGTTTCTTTCAGTGTTTTCTCGATCAGTAATTTTTAGTCTTGCTTTCTCCAGTCTCCCAGCGTGGAAGGGTAACCAGGGAAACTCTCTGTCATTCAATGGGAAAACTTGGATCGATAGTGATGGTACCACTTTGCAGGTTCACTAGTTGAACCCAGTTGGAGATCATAACTTGGTCAGAAGCCCTTGAACCATTCAACTTACATATTGAAGCAAAGGATAAGAGGCAAACCCATGCAAGGTAGAAAACTGTGATATAAGACTTGGACGAAAATTCACTGGTTGCCTTTCTAGTTAGTTATTTATTTGCTCATATCAATTAGTGCAACCGGCATCTTAAAACCGATTTCTTGCTTTCTAGAAAGTTGCTGATGTTTCATCCTTCCAACCCCACTACCTCCCAACATTATTTCTGTCAACATGTAACAACTAACAACTAAAAATCAAATACTGTAAGAAAAAAGTTCACAAAACTGGTCTAATTTAAAATGGGAAGCTTGGAACCTTGAAAATTTCAAGGATCATGATCATGATGAAGAAAGCTTCATACCTCGATTGGGCAGTATGTAAGTTTAAATCATGTCGTGCCTCAGTTCGTTCTCTGTCATGATTTTAGGACAACTATTCATTCTTTATCTGGTCCACAGCAATATTCAATGAGAGCATATGCTGGAGGCATATGGGATGCCGAGTATTGGGCTAGTGCCAAAGCACATGCTTCAGTCAGAAACACACTGAGCACTACATACATGCTCGGGACCATAAGAGCATCCCTATCACTAAGTTTATGTTAGGTTCATAGGTTCATAGGTTCATAGGAGCACTCCTATTACTCAATGTAGTGCTAGGGTCATAGGAACACCTCGTTCACAAAACTGTTCTCAAACATGAATACAATCAAATAGCACCACATGCCTTATTGTGATTGTTGTTTGTTTTTCGTTTCTAATTATCCCAGGACATTGCAGGCACGTATTGTTGAGGAAGAATAGTTACACTTCCCGTGAGTAGAAAACAGAACCAATGGAATTATGAATTTTACATACATAAGTACATAGACATATATAAGTACACATGTTACTCCAACTCAGGAATCACTTCTAACTGAATGTTAAGATTTCTTGCAGGCCTACTCGCATTTGTTTGTGTGGCACCTGTAGAGGCAAAAGGATTGGGAGGCACGGTTAGGTTTTCTCCTTTTTCCAGCATCTGAACCACAGCTTTCATTGAAGGACGATTGACTGGATACCATTGGATGCACCAGAGTCCTACAATTGCAAGTTTGTTTGGAATTTTACCATCTCCTTCTTCACCCATATGGATTCGTAGGTCATCTCCCTCTTCTAGAAGATTATAAATCCATTCAGGGTAGTAAATTTCATTTGTGTTCTCTGTGGGTGAACTGACATTCGTCCTTCCTCCTACTATCTCAAGCAGTAGCATTCCAAAACTACACACATCTGACTTATAGGACACATTTCCAAAGTTCCTGGAGAACACTTCAGGTGCAATGTAGCCCATGGTCCCCCTAGCTGTAGTCATTGACACTGTGCTTTGATCCTTGGAACATAACTTCGCCAAACCAAAGTCCGATATCTTTGGAGTGAAGTTGTGGTCTAGCAAAACATTACAAGGTTTGATATCAAAATGGAGAATTCGCCGATCACATCCTTGGTGAAGATATTCAATGCCTCTGGCTATGCCTATGGCAATATCTTGCAACTTATCCCAACCACAGAACCCATTCTTGTTGCCCACTGATGAAATGTAATCTTGCAGTGAACCATTGGAGAAGAACTCATAAACAAGAGCTCTTCTAAATCCATCAGCACAGAAGCCAACCAAGCGAACCACGTTGACATGGTGGATATGGCCCATTGTTCCCACTTCATTTATGAACTCTTCCCCGTTTCCGTTAGAACTATTGAGGGCCTTCACAGCAACGAAGATTTCAGAAGAAAGCTTTCCTTTATAAACAGTTCCGTAGGCTCCTTCGCCTAACTTGTCCGTGAACTGATTTGTAATCCTCTTAATATCTGCATGGGAATATCTATACTTGGTTTGAAGACCTTGTAATCCTCTAGAAATCTTTCAATTTTTAATCGATTCTCGTTTTCCTTTATATCATAGCTATAGACCTGATAGACTGCAACAACCAGTAGTAAGAGGACGAATGAACCCAGGGTTGCACCTACAAAACAATCATTAAAAAGTAAATATATATCCCCAGTCTTCTAGACATGACAGCAAAATAATCAGTTAGGTGACTCACTGGTAGCCGCTAATTTCGTTGCTGCACCTGTAAAAGATAATGACACAAATCAGATCGTCATGTTTGTGAAATTCATTTATACATATTGCCTCCTGGGCAACATCCCCTGAATAATTGCCGGCACTTTACAAGATGTATAAAAATTTGAGCAGGAAATATGTGAAGCAAAATATGTACTATTGCCTCACTTGCTTTCTTCAAGTCAACACATTCAATTTCAACTCTGGTGCCATTGTTCTTCAGCATACACTTCTTGCCTCCTGCTTCACATTCTGTGCAATTTGGTGTAGACCATCTCAAAACACTAAGAGATCTGTCTGAATTTGAAACTGGAACTGATAAAACATTATGCATCTTTGTGCAAGACCGGAGGTTATCAATTTCGTTGTTATCATAAACGGCATAGATTTGATTGCCAAGGTTGCTGTGGCAGGGGCCATTTAGAACCTGATCATTATATGGCCGTCTTTCAAGAACAGAAGAACAATTGAATAAGGTACTGTTCATGGACTCTTTTGAAAAGTGGAAAGGGAAGATTGACATGTTGAGGATTTCTGAAACTTTTACTAGCAGGCAATTATCTGGGTCGTACAGAGAGATTTGCTGATGCTCATAATCTATGCTTTTGACAGAGAGTTTGACTGGAATTGGCAGCTCAAGAACCGTCTGATGTCTCTCATTGCAAGACACAGCAAACCCCCGATAGCCACAGTGATCTGGTTGCCTATCTTTGAAGCTGAATGGGAAATGGATAGGCGGGCCTTTATCCCCACACTTGAATTCTTTGCAGGTATTTTATGTTTCTCCAAGAACTTTGGAGAAAGCCATTAA